TTTTTCTTTCTTTTTTGCGGAGCGCGACGCGGCGTGCAGTGAATGTTCTCGCCGATGACGGTGAGAGACGGCGCGGTGTCGGCGCGTCGAGTCAGCGGCGGTCCCTGCTGGCCGACCGACAAGTCGCGATGGCTCGGCTTGAACTGCAGCCGTCGACGAAGAGTCGAAGAAATCGGCGTGGTCTCGCGCTCGATATGCTCGATGGCCTGACCTCGCGTCAGCACCCGCGCGCGGTGCCGAGAGCAGGATCGCGCGCGCGCCGCCGCGCGCCGCGCAGTGCCGGCCTGGACGACGCGCTCCTCCTGCACGGCGCCGCAGGCCGATGGCATGTGCGTTGCGGACGTTCACGTAGTTGGCGAAGCCGCCCGCGAGATAGAGCCCGTGCGACCTTGCGGGATCGACGCGAGCGCGCGCATGACGGATCATGGCCGCAGAGCGTGGCGGCCTGGCCTGGCCGAGATTGCTGGCGTCTTCCGTCGAGAAGGTATGCCGTGCTTCGGCATCCACTGTCATCTCCATCTGCTTCGGTCGCGGCCGAAGACGCCTTGGCGGTAGAGCAGTCGCCCCGTCGAGCCTCATCGCAGCAGTCGAGCTCAGGCGAGCCGCAGAGGCCACGTGGCGCTGCCGCCGATGGTCTCGAGTGGCCGCAGCCGTCCGCGCCGAGGCGGACCGTCTCGATGGCGCCGTCGGCAGGCTGCATCCAAGCGCACCAGTCGCCCTCGAACGCAGAGGGCCCCGCCGGGCAGGAGGCGGCGAGCAGGCGGCCCCGGTGCTGGAGCACGACTCGCTGTTGGTGCCCATGTCCACGAGCATCACCGTCTCGCGCTGCGTCGCGAAGAACCCCTGTCTTCCAGCGGCGCCACCAGTGCAGCCGCGGCATCGCCGCCCACACATGGCTCGCGATCAGCGGAGCCGTACACCCGCGCACTCGCGGTTGGCGCGGAGACCAGCGCGGGCCAGCTGCGTTAAGCGCCGTGTTGGCGCGCGCTCGCCGCGAGAAAGGCTTCGTGCGCGATGGAGGACTGTAGGGCGTCTTCTGCCAATTCCCTGCACGTCGCGCTTGAACAGGATGTCGCGCATGGTGGGGAGGTTGGTAGCGCGACCACGATCTCGTAAATCGTCTCGCGGCCCAGCCCGAGCCGGCGCAGCCGTCCATATGGCGCGGCTGATGGCGGTCTCGCGGCGGCCTTCTGCAGCTCGCCGGCCTTGTCATCGCGGTCGTAGGAGATGCGGGCATGATGTCGCTGCCGCCGAAGGCTTGCGGTTCTCGAAGGGCGGCGCTGTGCACACTCTTCCCGGTCTCCAGATCGACGAAGTCGAGGACCACCGTGGTGTGCCGAGATCGACCGCGAGCCCGAGCATGTGCCCCCGGTAGCGGTCCACCACGTGGCCGTCGTAGAGCACGTCGGCGCCCCGCCGCGTGACAAGAGGGTCGAGGGTCTCGGGCGCACCGGCTGCATCGGCATGGGCGCGGACCAGGATGCGCGGGCGGCGGCGAAGCGGCGCGAAGGTGACATCGATGTCGTCGCGCTACGACCACCGCCGGCGGCGAGGCGGTGGGAGGCCGCAGGAAACGTCCGACTCGGTGCGCTGCGCAAAGCGCATCCTCTGCCGCCGGTCACCTCGACCACGCATCGTGGCAGCGGCCGTTGCGGAGGCACGATGTCGGGACCTCGACGGCAAGCTCGTCGGCGCAGTCGAAGAGCGTCATACCGATGGCGAGCGGCTGTGTTTTGCCGTCGTGGGAGACGGTGCCAGGCCCGGTCAGGCGGCGTTCCCGCCTTCGCGGCGCGCCGCGGCGCTCTGCTTGATTTGACCGACCGCTTACGGGCGCGCTCGCGGGTGGCGGGGTCGGTTTCCCACGCGAGGCTGTAGTCGAAGGTGCCGTCATGGCCGCAGGTCGCGGGCTCGCCCTTCTCCACGGCGGCGATCTGGTTGCCGCAGGAGAAGGCGGCGGTGCAGCGGTCGCGCGCGTCGCGGTAGGGGCAGCGCTGCGTCGCCTGCTCGTCGGCGTGGCTCACGATGTCCGAATAAATCTCGGTGAGCCGGTCGAGCCGCTGCTGATAGTCCTGCTGGCTGATCTTCGGCAACGGCGCCGCCTATCCGCGCTCTTCCATGAGCTTCTTGGCGAGCGCCACACAGGAGAGCGCGTCCTTGCCGTAGCCGTCGGCGCCCATGTCGTCGGCGAACTCCTGTCACGTCGCGCCCCCACCATCACCACACGTCGTCGCGGAGGTCGGCGTCGATCAGCGCCTCGATGGTCTTTCCCATGTTCGGCATCGTCGTCGTCAGCAGCGCCGACATGCCCATGATCGGCGCCTTGTGCTCCTCCAGTGCTGCGATGAACTCGTCCTCGGAGGTGTCCACGCCGAGGTCCACCACCTCGAAGCCGCGCCCGCCCAGCATCATGATGCAGAGGTTCTTGCGATAGTCGTGGAGGTCGCCCTTGACCGTGCCCATGATGACGGTGCCGATGGGCTCGACGCCGGCGGCGCGAGAGATCGGCTCGATATGGGCCATGCCCGCCTTCATCGCCCGCGCGCAGGCCAGCACCTCGGGCACGAAGATGAAGTTCTCGCGGAACTTGATGCCGACGATGCCCATGCCGGCGATGAGCCCGTCGTCCATGATCTCGAGCGCTTCCGTGCCCTCCTCCAGCGCCTTGACGGTCAACGCGTTCACGGTGTGATTGTCGCCCTCGATCAGGGCTGCAGCGATCTCCTGCATCTCGGGGCGCACGCGGGCAAACAGCGCGACGTTGCGCTCGATCTCGTCGGGCCGCTCGAGAACTCCTCGATCTCGTCGCGGATCACCGCGTTGGCGATGTCGGCAAGCTCGGCCATTGGATGCTCTGAGGTTGAAGCGACGGGGTGTCAGAGGCGTCAGTGAGGGCGGTCGTGCTCGGCGTGCCAGTCGCGCACCGCCAGCGGAATCTCGCGCAGGTTCTCGACCGAGGTCTGCAGCGGGATGGCACATTCCGGGCCCACCGCCTGCACGCCGGCATCGAGATTGGCATAGACCTCCCTGCGCACGTCCTCCGGCCCCTTGGCGAACAGCGTCTCGGGATTGTTGATGTTGCCGACCAGCGAGACGCGGTCGTCCATCACCGCCATCGATTCGCGCCGGCTTGTCTTGGAATCGAAGTGGAAGGCGGCGATCCCGGTCTCGGCGATGTAGCCCATGCGGTCCACCGTGCGCCCGCAGATATGGAGGATGAGCGGCACCGGCAGGCGCTCCACGAACTCGATGTGCAGGTCCTTGAGGTAGCGCTTGTAGTAGTCCGCGCTCACCAGGTCGCCGGTGGCGTGATCGGGGACCGTCAGCGCATCGGCGCCGGCCTCTATCTGCGCCATGCCGAACTGGATGGTCGCGTCCTTCATGCGGTCGAGCGCGAGCTTGGTCTTGCCCGGATCGTCGAGGGACATCAGCAGGAAGGGCTCGACCCCGAAGCAGTGATAGCCCAGCGTCCACGGCCCCATGGTCTTGCCGATGATCGCCACTTCGTTGCCGAACTCGCGCCTGAGCAGGCGGATCGCCTCGATCACGCAGCGCATGTCCGGGTGCAGGAGGAAGTCGTTGGGGATGCGGATGTCGTCCACGTCCTCCCAGATCGGCTCGCGCATGCGCACGGTCGGCCAGTTGTCCTTCTGCTCCCACTGCATGTTGCAGCCGAGCGCCGACGATTCCTGGATGATCGGGAACACCGGCATGATGCTGTCGAAGCCCAATTCGGTGTAGCCGGTGGCGGCGAGCCGCGCCATCAGCGCCGGGTCGCGGTTGGCGAGCGGGAAGTTGGCGTCCACCAGGTCCATCAGCTCGACGGTCGCGACCGAGGTCGGGTTGCACACCGGCGTCCGGTCCACCGGCTCGCGGGCGAGCGCGGCCATTACCCGCTCGCGGCTGGTCATGGAGGGTACTTGCGTCATGGTCTCCGCTCCCGACCCTCAGGTCTGCTGTTGCGCGCTCGGCGCGGCGAGGATGCCGCGCGCCGCCGCAGCCTCCGCCTCGCGCATGGCGGCGCGGACGTTGAGCGCCCGACCGATCAGAAGGCCCACCAGCTCGTCGTGGGAAAATCCGCAGGGGAAGCGGACCTCGCCCGGCTCGGCACCCGGCTCCAGCTCGGCGAGCTTGATCAACCCCCTGGTCACGCCGTCCACGCGCTGCGCCGCCTTGTCGTTGCCCTCGCTGCCTGCGGCCGCGATCCGGTAGCGCCCGTCGCCGACGGCTGTCGCGTCGATCGTGAGATCGTTCTTCTTGTCGTAGACGCGCATGGGCTGCGCCGCAACCTCGGCCCCCGTCGCCCGTTTGCAGGCTTCGAGAAAGAGCCGCTTCACCGCCGCCTTGTGCGCGAGCCCCGCAGGCGAAAGCCAGGCGCTCGGACTGACCCCGGCGCCGGCCCCATGCCGCCCATGACCGCCATCGCCCGCATCACGAAGCCAAGCCGCTCGGCGGCGCCCTCCCTCGTGCTGTAGCTGTGGGCGAGAAATCCCGACGCGCCGCCCTCTCCGGTGCTGCGGTAGAGGGAGATGCTGATGTCGTGGAAGTGCGGATCCATGGAGACCAGCTCCAACCGCTCCCCGAGTTCCAACAGGCGTCCCATCGTCCCCTCGCCGCATCGGCCCGGTCCCGCCCGAGCCTCCTATCGACCGGCAGAATTTCAGATCGGAGCGAAGGGAGACAAGGCCGCGATCCAGGCAAATGGAAATGGTAGCGACCCGCACCTACGATACGCGCCGCCACAGTTGCGAGGCCGGCGGCAAAGTTTGTGGTGGACTCCCCATGCCGATGTCGAGAACCGTCCGATTGGCGCGGCGGGCTGGCCGCAGCCTACGTCGGATTGCTTTCAGAGCGATACGGTGTGTGGCAGCCGCCCCATAGCCGCATCGAAGGTGTAGACGCCGTTCAGCGTCTCGTCAGAGTCCGATGCAGCACGCAGCGCCTTGAACACGATCAACGCATCGGCGAAGCCCGCACCCTTCGCCGACCCGACCTCGTCCGCCGGCGCGGTGCTTCGGTACGCTTGCAGGGCGCGCCAAACCGCCTGATCGTCCTCGAAACGGACATTCGGCTCGCTGAACAGCCGTTCGAGGACGGCCACCAGTTCGACCTTGGCCAGTCGGTACTTGCGGCCGGAGAGCGTCCATACGGTTTCCGCAAGCACAACGTCTGTGATCAAAACGGTCTCGGCAGCACCGAAAACAGCCTCCGCCCGCGCTGCCTGGGCCTCATCGTCGTGCAGCAGATACCGGAGCAAGACACTGGTGTCGACGGCGATCAAGGCTTCGACTCGTCCAGCGCGTCCTCGCAGGGACTCTTCGTCGCCACGGCGGGGTCGCCGGCTACATGACGCAGGAATCCCTTGGCCGCGCCAGCGGTCTTTCGCACGATGGTGATACGGCCATCGGCAACGAAGCTGCGATACTCGTCCCCCGGCCCGATCCCGACTTCTCTGCACTGATCGATGGGCAGCGTAATCTGGCGCTTGGCGCTCACGCGCGGCATGACAACGTCCTTTCAGGCATGTCCAATTCGGGAGAACACTATCTCAGTCTTTACCTAGTCTCAATTTGTAAAGAATCTAAAGCGGGCCTTACCCCCAGAGCGCGGGTTCCGGCGGTGACATCATCGCGCCGTCGTAGCTGAGCCCAGGCGAGCGGTCGCGGGCCAGCAGCAGGGGACCGTCGAGGTCGACGTAGTCGGCGAAGCCGGCGAGCAGGCCGCCGGCGCCATGGCGAGCGAGGTGCCGACCATGCTGCCCACCATGATGCGAAAGCCCATGGCCTGCGCTTCGGCCGCGAGCGCGAGCGCCTCCGTGAGGCCCCCGGTCTTGTCCAGCTTGATGTTGACCATGGGGTAGCGGCCGGCGAGCCCAGGCAGGTCGGCGCGTGTGTGGCAGCTCTCGTCGGCACAGAGCGGGAGCGCGAAGCTGCGGCCTTCGAGCGCCACATCGTCTGCCGCCGGCAGCGGCTGTTCCACCATCTCGACTCCGAGCGCGGCGAGAGCCGGCAGCAGCTCATCCAGCATCGGCGGCGACCAGCCTTCGTTCGCATCGACGATCAGCCTCGCATCGGGCGCGTTGGCGCGGACTGCCTGGATGCGCGCGAGGTCGCCTTCGCCGGTGACCTTGAGCTTGAGCAGAGGGAGGTGCGCGTGCCGGGCCGCGGCCTCACCCATATTCTCGGGTGTATCGAGGCTGAGTGTGACGGCGGTGACGCAGGGCTCTGGCCTATCGAGGCCTGCCAATGCCCAGGCCGGGCGGCCCGCCTGCTTCGCTTCCAGGTCCCAGAGCGCGCAGTCGAGCGCGTTGCGAGCGGCGCCGGCCGGCAGCGCGTCCAGCAGGCCTTCGCGGGTATGCCCGCCCTCCACAGCCTCGCGCGCGTCCTCGATCTCCGCGCGCGTTCGCGCCGGTGTCTCGTCATAGCGGGGATAGGGGACGGCCTCGCCACGGCCGGTGTGGGGGCCGTCGGCGACTTCGGCGACGACGACGTGCGTCTCCGTCTTCGACCCGCGGGAGATGCGGAAGGCGCCCTTGAGCGGCCACGTTTCGAGGCGCACGGTGAGGCGCCGCCCCACGGATCCGGACCCTTAAATCACGCGGTCGGCGATTGGGCTCACGCCGGTGCGGATGGGATCGACGCAGGGCAGGCCGTGGGCCTTGCCGAGTTCCTCCAGCAGCCGCTCGGCCTCCGCCGCCTCAAGCGCCTCGGTGTTGACGCAGATGCCGCGCAGACGACGTCAGGATTGGTGAGCCGCGCCGCCTGCAAGTTCGGCTTCGATACAGGCGCCGAGCTCGGGAAGCGGCCAGTCCGGCAGGCCCCGCATATGGGTCCGCGTCGGCTCGTGGCAGACCACGATCGCGTCCGGCTGGGCGCCGTGGATCAGACCCAGCGTCACGCCGGCATAGGAGGGGTGGAAGAGCGAGCCCTGCCCCTCGACGAGGTCCCAGTGATCCGGGTCGTTCGCGGGCGTGAGCCACTCGGTGGCACCGGAGATGAAGTCGGCCACGACCGCATCGACCGAGACCCCGCGGCCGGCGACGAAGATGCCGGTCTGCCCGGTCGCGCGGAAGGCGCATGGGACGCCGCGCCGGCGCCATTCGGCTTCCAGCGCGAGCGTGGTGTACATCTTGCCGACCGACGCGTCGGTGCCCACCGTGAGCAGGCGCTTGCCGGCTCTGCGGACGCCCGTCCCCACCTTGAATTCCTGTGACGGATGGCGCACGTCGAAGAGATGCCGGCCGTGCGTCTCGGCAGCATCGCGCACCGCCGGCAGGTCGCTCAGGCGCACATGAAGCCCGCTGGCCACGTCGAGGCCCGCTTCCAACGCCGCCACGAGGGTGGCGATCCAGCTCTCGCTAACCACCCCGCCAGCGTTGGCGACGCCGACGATGAGGCTTTTTGCGCCCTTGGCCGCCGCCTCCTCGAGCGTCATCTCGGGCAGGTCGAGGCGGGCGTTGCACCCTTCGGCAGCCTGATCTGGCCGAGGCACCACTCCGGCCGAAAGACGAACACCCCGCGCGCGGTCTTGGCGGCGAGGTCGTCCCGCGCGTCGCCGAGGAAGAGCAGATAGGGCGGGTCGATCTGCGGGCGAGCGCTCATGCCTTTCCCTTCGCGATATGGGCCGCGAGTCTGGCGAATAGCGCCGGACGCCGCAAGGCGCCGCCCGGCATTGCCGCGGTCAGACCAGCGGGTTCTCGTCGGTCATGTAGATGGTTACGCGCTTGAAGCGGCCGTCTTCGACCTGGAAGAAGTTGCAGTTGCGCATCTCCACATGGCGGCCGTCGTCATAGTCGTTGCGGGCGACGAACTGCGAGGCGATCCATTGGTGCTCCACGTCGACGACGTGGGTGAAATCGCCGTGATAGATGATCTTGGTCGTGCCCATGAAGTCGCGGAACATGCGCCTGATCTGATCGTGGCCGACGTGGCTCACGTGCGCCGATTGGATGCGGAGCTCGGCATCCTCCGCGAAGCAGGCGACCGCAGGCTCCAGGTTCTTGTTGTCGACATTGGAAAGTAGGCGTCCTCGACGAGTGCGATCAGTTCCTCGCGGCTGAGCATGAGCGTCCGTCCATCGGTGGATCAAAAGGGCGCCGACTGTAGCGGACGGCCCCGCCTTTGCAACTGCGACGGGGGCGGCGCTAGGCTGAGCTTCGCGGGCCCGATTGGAGAAGCCGTGTCGATCACTATGTCGATCACTATGCGGTCAAGAACGGCCGTCGCGAGGCTCGCATGCGCGTGTTGATCTGCGGGGGCGGCGTGATCGGCACGTCGATCGCCTACTTCCTCAGCCAGCGCGGCATCGAGGCCGTGGTGATCGAGCGCACCGGTATCGCCAACGCGGCCTCGGGCAAGTCGGCGGGTTCCTGGCCCTCGACTGGTGCGATGGCTCTCCCGCCGAGGCGTTGGCACGGCGCAGCTTCGACCTGCACGCCGAGCTTGCTCAGCGGATCGACGACGAATGGGGATACCGCCGCCTCGATACGCTCGGTGTCGTGACCAGCGCGCGCCGCGATGTGGGCTTCTACCGCAAGTTGGCGGCGCCCGATTGGCTTGCGGGCGACGCGGCGGTGCATGCCCGTCTTGGCACCGCCGAGACCACGGCCCAGGTAAACCCCGCCGCCTTCACCGGCGCCGTGATGCGGGCGGCGCTCGCCGCGGGTGCTCGGTTGACGATCGGCACCGTCACCGGCCTGGTGCAAGGCGCCGACGGTGCCGTGCAAGGCGTCATGGTGGACGGGCAGGAGATCGCCGGCGATGCGGTCGTCATCGCCATGGGCCCGTGGTCGGCTCTAGCCAGCCAATGGCTGCCCCTGCCGGCGGTCTATGGCTTGAAGGGCCACAGCCTGGTCTTCCGCTATGCGCCGACGCCGGTGCCCCACGCGCTCTTCGTGGAGCTCGAGACCGAGGCCGGCACCCTCGCGTCGCCGGAAGTGTTTCCCCGGCCCGACGGCACGACCTACGTCTGCGGCCTCTCCAGCGAGGCGCCGCTGCCGGTGGACCCCGCCGCCGTGGTGCCGGACGAGGGCGGCGCGGCCCGGCTCCGCGCCATGACGGCGCAATTCGCGCCGGCTCTGGGCGGTGCCGAGGTGCTGGCCGAGCAGGCCTGCTACCGCCCCGTCGCAGAAGACGGGCTGCCGCTCATCGGTGCCGTCCCCGGCGCGAGGGTGCCTATGTGGCGACGGGCCACTCTGTGTGGGGATGCTGAACGGCCCGGCTACGGGCGAGGCGGTCGCGGAGTTGATCGCCGACGGAGCGGCCAAGACCGTGGACCTCGCGCCCTTCGATCCGGCACGGCTCGCGCCGCTCGCGGCGGGTGCCGTGCGGGTGGAGGTTTAGCTCCCAAATCTCACCAAAGTCGTGATCTCCCGGGATCGTGCGAATGCCACGCGCGTTGAGGGCGCTTCCATTCGGGACTAGGCTGTCGTCAGGCGTCGAAGAATAAACAGACGAACGAAGACGGGAGACGGGAGATGACGGACACTGACGACAAGAAGCCTGTCGCAGAGATGACGTTCGAGGAGCGCACCTACGCCTACGCCAGGGCCTGGGCGCAGATGAGCAGGCGGGATTTCCTCAAGACCGGGGCGGCGCTGGGCGGCGCCGCAGCGTTCGCGGGCCTCGGCATGCCGCGCGCCCACGCGGCCAAGCCGGGCGGAACGCTGCGCATCGCGCGCGGGCAGGAGTCCGACACCCTCGATCCGCAGAAGACCACGCTGCTCGTCGCCCACGAGATCATGTGGCAGGTCTACGACTCGTTGGTCTATCTCGACGAGAAGGGCACGGTCTATCCAGGCCTCGCCACCAGCTGGGAGTTCTCCAACGAGGGCAAGACGGTCACCCTCAAGCTCAGGGAGGGCGTCAACTTCCACGACGGCTCGCCGTTCAACGCCGAGGTCGTCCGCTGGACCGTGGAACGCCACCTTGCCGACACCACGGCCTCGCCCACCTCGTGGATGCTGGGCCCGATCGCGGGCACCGAGGTGATCGACGACATGACCATCGCCTATCACTACACCGATCCCTTCGTGCCGCTCTGGGTGGGGCTCGGCTATTCCTACTGCGCGCCCATCAGCAAGGCCGCCGTCGAGGCGCAGGGCGATGCCTTCGGCCGCAACCCCAGCGGCACGGGGCCCTTCAAGTTCGTGCGCTGGGATCCGGACCAGGGTATCGAGCTCGTGCGCAACGACGAGCACAATTGGGCCACGCCCTGGTACAGCAACGAGGGGAACGCCTACCTCGAGCGCGTCGAGTATGTGGTGATACCTGAGGACGCGACCCGCCTCGCCGCGCTGCTCAGCGGTGACGTGGACTGCATCTCGGGCACCGATGCGGTACCGGTCGACAAGCTGCGCCAGATCGAGGCGACGGAGGGATACAAGACCTACAGCCGGCCTGCCGTCGGCGTCTTCTTCGCGATGATGAACCAGAAGATGGCGCCGATGGACGACGTGCGCGTCCGCCAGGCGATCAACTATGCGGTCAACCGCGAGAAGATCATCGCGCTGGTGCTGGACGGCCAGGGCCAGTCCGCCTTCAGCCCGGTGGCGTCGTCCTACGGCCAGTACAACGCGGAGACCGAGACCTACGGCTACCGCCACGACCCCGAGAAGGCCAAGGCGCTCATGGCCGAGGCGGGGCTCGCGGACGGCTTCTCCATGACCTACCTCAACATCGAGAGCCCGGCCTACCGGCGCGTCGCCGAGGTGATTCAGGAGGACCTGTCGCAGATCAACATCTCGATGGAGATCCAGTCCTACCCGGTGGCGGAGTGGTTCGCGCTCGGCGGCGAGGGCAAGTTCCACGCGAGCTTCTTCTACTACACCTACAGCGACCCCGATCTGATCCATCCCATGATGCTGACCAACGGGTCCTACAACTGGACCTTCTCGGAGAACGCCGAGATGGATGCGCTGATCGAAGCCCAGCGTATCGAGTTCGACGCGGCGGAGCGCACGCGGCAGATTCAGAAGATCCAGGAGATTGCGGTGAAGGATGCCTACTGGCTCTACCTCTATGAGGGCACCTACGTCGCCGCGATGAAGGAAGAGGTGCAGGGGCTGGAGCTTAACCTCGTGGGCTTCCACCACCTGCAGGACGTCTGGCTCGACGTCTGAGTTCATAGAGTCGGGGCGGGGGTGCCGGCGGCCCCCCGACGCCGCGAGTGAGGTAATTCGCGGCAAGAGGAAAAGGGGCCCGACGGCACACGCCATAGGAGGAAACGATGGCAGGCAAACGGTCACGACCCGATATCACCGCTGCGAAATCCTTCGAGCAGCAGACCTATGACTATGCCCGGAACTGGGCGCTATCCCGCCGCGGCTTCCTGCAATCCGCCGCCGTCGCGGGCGGCCTGGCGCTGGCAGGATTCGGTCCGCGGGCCGCGCAGGCGCAGCAATCGGGCGGACACCTGAGGATCGGCCGGTCGCAGGACTCGGATACCCTCGATCCGCACAAGACGTTCCTGCTCGTGAGCCACGAGATCATGTGGCAAATCTACGACTCGCTGATCTACCTGGACGCGAGCGGCAACGTTTATCCGGGCGCTGCCGAGAGCTGGGCGTTCTCCAACGACAACCTCACCGTCACCTTCAAGCTGCGGCCGGGCTTGAACTTTCACGACGGCACGCCGCTGAACGCCGAGGCGGTGAAGTTCACGGCGGACCGGCACGTCGCACCCGAGACGGCCTCGCCGAATGCGTTCCTGCTGGGGCCGCTCGAACGGGTGGAAGTGATCGACGATCTGACCGTCGCCTATCACTACACCGAGCCCTTCGTGCCGCTGTGGGTGGGTCTCAGCTATTCATATTGCGCACCCCATCAGCCCGACGGCGGCCAAGAAGCATGGAGACCTCTACGGCCGTAATCCGGTCGGCACCGGCCCGTTCAAATTCGTGAGCTGGCAGCCCGATCAGGGCATTCGCCTCGAGCGCAACGAGGAGCACGACTGGGCGACGCCCTGGTACAACAACCAGGGCAAGGCCTACCTCGATAGCGTTGAATACGTGGTGATCCCCGAGGAGGCGACGCGGCTCGCCGCCTTGCGCTCGGGCGACATCGACATGATCTCGGGCGACGAGGCGCTGCCCCTCGACAAGGTGCGCCGGCTCGGCCAAACGCCGGGGCTGAAGACGTTTACGCGGCTCTCGGCCGGCGTGCATTTCATCAACCTCAACAACAGGAAGGCATTCAAGGACGAGCGTCTGAGAAAGGCGGTCAACTACGCCATCGACCGCGAGAAGATCATCGCACTGGTGATGGATGGCCAGGCCGCGACCGCTCACAGCCCGGTCGCGACCTCCTTCCCGCAATATTTCGAGGGCTCGAAAGACCTCGGCTACCCCCACGATCCCGAAAAGGCGCGGCAGCTCGTGGAGGAAGCGGGTCATGGCGACGGGATCGATGTCGTGTTCTACACGGTGGCATCCGAAATGTTCCGCCGGATCGCAGAGGTTGTGCAGGAGGACCTGGCGAAGGTCGGCATCAGGTCTCCATCCAGGCATTCCCCGTCGCCGAGTACATCCCGCTCGCGCAGAAGGGCGATCAGGACATGGCCATGATCTGGTACACCTATTCGGATCCGGACATCCTGTTCAACATGCTGGGCACGGGCACGCCCTTCAACTGGTCGTTCACGGAGGATGCCGAGCTCGACAAGATGCTCTCCGACCAGCGCTACATATTCGACGCTGCCGAGCGCAAGGCGGCCTGGCAGAAAGTTCAGGAGCGCTATGTCGGCATGGCCTATTCGGCAATTCTCTACGAAGGCAAGTATGTCGCAGCCATGAGAGAAGAGGTGCAGGGGGTCACGCTCAACGTCGTGGGCTTCCATCACCTCCAGGAGATATGGCTCGAAGAGTAGGGTACGGTTCTTTGACCCGCCGCGGTCGCTAGCGGGCCGCGGCGGGTCGTACCCATGCCGGTCTATCTGCTGCAACGGCTGGTCCATGCCGTCATCGTTATCACGGTGGTGGTGTTCGTCGTTTCGCTCATCGTCAAGGTGATCCCGGGCGATCCCGTCGACGTGATGTCAGCCGGCAACCCCGGTATCACCGCGGAGCAGAAGGACAAGCTGCGCGCGCAGCTCGGCCTCACGCGGCCGGTGCTTGAGCAATTCGCGTCCTATTTCACCGGGGCCGTGCAGGGCGATCTCGGCCAGTCGATCCGCTTCCGCGTGCCCGTCACCCAGCTCATCGCCGAGCGGCTGCCGGCGACGCTGGAGCTCACCATCCTCTCGATGATCATCGCCATGCTGATCGCGCTCCCGCTCGGCGTCGTCACGGCGCTGCGCCGGGGCTCGATGGTCGACTACTCCGGCACCGTGGTGGCGATCCTCGGAGTCTCGATCCCGAGCTTCGTGCTGGGCATCCTGCTGATCATCGTCTTCGCCGTGGACTTGCGCTGGCTGCCGTCGTCCGGCCGCGGCGAGTTCATCCTGACCGCGGCGTGGCGGGCAATCGCGGAGGGCGACGCCGGCGTCTTCTGGAAGAGCTTCCGCTATCTCCTGCTGCCCTCGATAGCGCTCGCGCTCTCGATCACGGCGTGGAACGCGCGGCTCACGCGCTCGGCCATGCTGGAGGCGCTGGGGCAGGACTATGTGCAGTTCGCCCGCGCCAAGGGGCTGCCCAACCGCGTGGTGTACATCCGCCACGCCTTCCGCAACGCGATGATCCCGACGATCACGATCCTGGGTCTGCAACTCGGCTACCTGCTCGGCGGCACCTTCGTGATCGAGAACGTCTTCGCCTGGCCCGGCATCGGGCGGCTGGCGGTCCAGGCCATCTTCTGGCGCGACTACCCGATCATCCAGGGCATCGTGGTGGTGATCGGCGGCCTCTTCGTCCTCATCAACATCGGAATTGACGTGATCTACCGCATGGTCGACCCACGGATCCGCTATGGCCGCGCTTGAGCCCGGCGACGCCCGCGACACGGCGGCGGAACGTGCGGACGTACCGGTCGACGACCACGTTCCGCCCTGGCGGCGCTTCTTTCAGGAGCTCCGTGCGAGCCCCAAGGGGATGACCGGCTTCGTCTGCATGTCGATCATCGTCTTCGTCGCGATCTTCGCTCCCTGGCTGCTGCCAGCGGACCACACCGAGCAGGTGATCTCGAACCGCTTCCTGCCGCCGGTCTTCGCCGGCGGCGAATGGCCGCACTTCCTGGGCGCCGACAATCTCGGCCGCGACATCTTCTCGCGCGTGATCCTGGGCACCCAGACCTCGGTGGCCGTCGGCGCCTTCGTGGTGGTGCTCGCGCTCGTGGTGGGCTCGGCGCTCGGCGCCATCGCCGGCTACTTCGGCGGGCTGGTCGACACTTTCATCATGCGGCTCACGGACTTCCAGCTCTCCTTCCCCTTCATCCTACTCGCCATCATCTTCATGGCGATCTTCGGGCCGGGCTTCACCAGCCTCGTGATCGCGCTCGCCGTCGCAATCTGGGTCAACTATGCGAGGCTCGTGAGGGGCGAGACGCTCAAGCTCCGCGAGCTGGAGTTCATCCAGGCCGCGCGTTCCATCGGCGTCCGCCACAGCGTCATCATCCTGCGCCACGTGCTGCCCAACGTGCTGCCCTCGATCATCGTGATGGCGACGCTCGACATCGCCTTCGTCATCATCTTCGAGGCGGCGCTCAGCTTCCTCGGGCTCGGCATCCAGCCGCCGACGCCGTCCTGGGGGGTGATGATCAGCGACGGGCGCAACTACATGTTCGAGAGTCTGTGGATGACGCTTGGCCCGGGGCTCGCGATCCTGGTCACCGCCGTCGCCATCAATCTGTTCGGCGACTTCCTGCGCGACACCTACGATCCCAGGCTGGCGGGGCTCTGATGACGACGGACCGAGCGATGGCCGACACGCTGCTCGACGTCCGGGGACTGGTGACGCATTTCGCGACCAGGCGCGGAACCGTGCGGGCCGTGGACGACGTGAGCTTCCATGTGGGCCGCGGCGAGACGCTCGGCCTGGTCGGCGAGAGCGGCTGCGGCAAGTCGGCGACGGGTCTCTCGATCATCGGCCTGATCGAGCCGCCGGGCCGCATTGCCGGCGGCGAGATCGTCTTCGAGGGCGAGGACTTGCTCGGGAAGACCCCTGAGGAGATGCGGCGCATTCGCGGCGCGCGCATCTCGATGATCTTCCAGGACCCGACCACGACGCTCAACCCGGTGCTGCCGATCGGCGACCAGATCGCCGAGATGTTCCGCTACCACACCCGCATCGGCGCACGGGAGGCGCGCGCGCGGGTGATCGAGATGCTGGACAATGTCGGCATCCCCCGGCCGCACGAGCGCTACCGCGACTATCCGCACGAGTTCTCCGGCGGCATGCAGCAGCGGGTGATCATCGCCGCAGCCCTCATCCTGCACCCTGCGCTCGTGATCGCCGACGAGCCCACCACCGCCCTCGACGTCACGGTGCAGATGCAGATCCTCGCGCTGCTGAGGCGCCTGCAGGAGGGCGAGGCCAACACCTCGGTCATCCTCATCAGCCACGATCTCGGCGTCGTCGCCCAGATGTGCGAACGCGTCTGCGTCATGTATGCCGGCACCGTCGTCGAGGCGGGCACGACCGAGGAGGTGCTGGAGAACCCCAGGCATCCCTATACGGTCGGCCTGATCGAATCGATCCCGCGCCTCGATGTGGAGAGCCAGTCCCTCAACCCGATCCCGGGCGTCGTGGCGGACCCGATCCGCCCACCCGAGGGCTGCAAATTCCATCCGCGCTGCGCCCATGTGCACGATCTCTGCCGCACGGCGCGGCCAGTTCTGCGCGCCTTGGACGGCGGCCATTCCGCGGCCTGCCACCTCTACGCCGAGGCCGCCTCGTGAGCGCGCCGCCCGCACCCGCGGTCTCGCCCCTGCTGGAGGTGGACGCGCTCACCAAGCACTTCCCTGTCCGGCGCAACATGGCGACGGCGCTGCTCGGCAAGCGCCGCGTGGTCCATGCCGTGGACGGGCTCACCTTCTCGATCGGGCGGGAAGAAACATTCGGCCTGGTGGGCGAGAGCGGCAGCGGCAAGTCGACGACCGGCAAGGTCATCGCCCGCCTGATCCCGGCGAGCGCGGGGCAGGTCCGCCTCGACGGCGAGGACTGGCTCGCTCTCTCGGGCGATGCGCTCCGCCGCCGCCGCCGGGACGTGCAGATGATCTTCCAGAACCCCTATGCCTCGCTCGATCCGCGCTGGTCGGTGTTCCACATCGTCGCCGAGCCGCTCGTCACGCACCGCGTGGTGCCGAGGCGGGCGCTCAGGCAGCGGGTGAGCGAGTTGCTTGACGCGGTCGGTCTCGACCCCAGCCACGCGCAGCGCTACCCCCACCAGTTCAGTGGTGGGCAGCGCCAGCGCATCGGTCTCGCGCGGGCGCTCGCGCTCGACCCCAAGCTGCTGGTCGCCGACGAGCCGGTGTCCGCACTCGACGTGTCGGTCCAGGCCCAGATCCTCAACATGCTGCGCGCGATCCAGCGGCGCTACGCGCTCAGCATCCTCTTCATTTCGCACGACCTCTCCGTCGTCCGCTTCGTCTGCGACCGGGTGGGCGTGATGTATCTGGGCGAGATGGTGGAGCTGGCGGAGACCGCGGTCCTCTTCCGCGAGCCACGCCATCCCTATACGCAGGCGCTGCTGGCGGCGATCCCCGAGCCTACGACCCGGCGCCTGCGCACGATGGTGCCGATCGAGGGCGAGATCTCGAGCCCCATCGACCCGCCCTCCGGCTGCCGTTTCCACCCGCGCTGCCCGCGCGCCGAGGCGATCTGCCGCCAGGAGAAGCCGGCCTTTCGGGAGCTGGCGCCCGGCCATCACGGCGCCTGCCACTTCGCCTGACGCCCTCGCGGCAGGCACCGGCCGCAGGCCGGCAGGCCATTGACTCTATGGGATTTAGATGGCGCGCTCGGAGGGATTCGAACCCCCGACCCCCAGATTCGTAGTCTGGTGCTCTATCCAGCTGAGCTACGAGCGCGCACGGGCGCGGCGCCCGGCGCCGGCCACGCGGCGGACCCTATCCAAATCGCCCCAGGGTCGCAAGGGTGCCGCAGGGGCGGCGCTTAGTAGTGCGTCGGGGGATCAGCTGCGGTCCAGCTTCGCGAAGAGGAGCCAGAAGAAGCCGCCGAGAATCGGCAGCGTGACGCCCAGAATAATCGTCGACAGCGAGAAGATGATCGGCACCTGCGACTGGTGCGATGCCGTCATGGTCCAGTTGTAGATCGGCATCGTCGTCTCCGAGCCCCGCAGGAAGATCGAGCGGAGCAGCTCGTTGAAGGAGAGCAGGAAGCCGAAGATGCCGGCGCCGATGATGCCGGGGCGCAGGATCGGGAACTCGATGTCCCAGAAGCGGCGCCAGCCGGTGGCGCCGAGATCCTGCGCCGCCTCCAGCAGCCGGTGGTCGAAGCGGGTCGCGATGATCAGCACCAGCAGCAGCGAGAACGGCAGCGACCACACCATATGGCCGACGAAGATCGACCAGAGCCCGAGCCTGAGGTCGAGGAGGGAGCGGATGGAGATGAAGAGCGCCGCCCCCATGGTGAGGCCCCGGAACGAAGAGCGGGATGAGGGCGATCAGGATCACCCCGCCCGGTTTCTTCATTCTGGGCATGGCGCGGCCGACGGCGGTGGCCACGATCATGCAGACGATGCCGACGACCACGCCCATGGCGATGCTCTCGTAGAGCGGCTCGCCCCACTTGTTGAACGCGCCCATGAGCTCCTCGTAGTGCTCCATGGTGAGCGGGTAGGGGATGCCCGAGAGCGGCTTGCCGCTGAACGACATCACGGCGAGCCAGACGAGCGGGATGTACATCAGCAAGATGACGATCAGCCCGAGCCACTTGGCGATCACGGTCCAGAGCCGCCAGGCCGAGACCCGGCGCGCCAACAGCGCACCGCCGTGGCCGATCTGGTCGTCGATGGTGGCCGCCATCCTGTGCTGAGCCCGATCGCTCATCGTCCTAGCGCCTCACCGCCTCAGCGTCTGGAAGACGTCGCCGATGGAGCCGAGCCGCCGCGTCGCCAGGATCAGCAGCGTCAGCAGCAGCGCGAGCACAATGACGACGAAGACCGAGAGCGCGGCCGCGGTCGGGTACTTCAGATTTCGGATCGCCGCTTCCACCGATGGTCCGAGCAGGTTGACGAAGCCGCCGCCCAGCATCTCCGGCTCCACCCAGGTCGCCATGAGCGGCACCATGGTGAAGACGGCGCCGGCGACGATGCCCGGCAGCGAAAGCGGCAGGATGATGTAGAAGAGCGTGTGCAGCTTGCTCGCGCCGAGGTCGCGGCTCGCCTCCAGGTAGTGGTCGTCGATGAGGCTCACGACCAGGAAGATGGGAAACACCATCGTCGGGAAGTAGGGCGCGAGCATCCCGAAGTGGACGGCGAATTCCGAGAACAGCATCCATTCCATCGGCTCGCCGATGATGCCGAGCTCCATGAGGACGGTGTTGATGATGCCGTTCTTGCCGAGGATGGCGCGCCAGATGATGGTGCGGGACGAGGGGTCGACGAAGAACGGGATGGTGAGCAGGGTGATGATGACCGCCTTGGTCACCTTCGACTTGCAGGTCTTGGCGAGCCAGAGCGCGAAGGGGAAGGCGATCAGGAACTCGACGACCGTGATCATGAGCACGACGCGGAGCGTGCGCACCGCCGCGATCCAGCGCCCGGAATCGATCAGCGAATTCCAGGTCTTGAACGAGGCGTCGTAGGACACCTGGTAGTTCTTCATCTCGAAGAACGAGTGGGCGATCATGACGAGCAGCGGCAGGATGACGATGACCACCCACGCCGCGACGAAGACCGGCACCACCCAGCCGCCCGTGAACAACCGGGTGTAGCCGGCGCGGAGGTCGCCGACAAAGCCGTTTCCCGCCGTGTCAGACATCGATCGCCAACAAAGATAGAGCCCCGGGGCACCGCGCGAAGGTGTTCGCGGGGCGCACCGGGGCCTTGGTCACATTACGAATGGCGCGGTCAGGCGTTCAGGAACCGCTGCCACTCCTCTTCCATGACATCGGCGTTCGGCGCCGCGGGCTTGCCGAAGAAGGGCTTCTCGAACTTCTTGTTGACCTTGACCTCGGTCCACTTGAGCTCTTCGACCTGCTCCTCCGGCCAGCCGCTCTCCTGCGCAAATTGGACGCCGAGGTCCATGTTAGGGGCCGGCGTAGCCGCGCTGGATCCCCTGATAGGCGCGATACTCGCCGGTCATGTAGTAGTTGAGCACCTTGTAGATGTTGTCGACGTTGTCGCGCTCGCCGGCCTTGGTGTGCATGTAGGCGCCGTGGCCCCATTTGTAATAGCCCTCGACAGTGAAGGCGTAGATCACCGTGCCGGGGCCGAGAATGTTGTTAGCCTCCTTGGTCGCGGGCTCCCAGCAGTTGATCAGGTCGATCTCGCGGCTGCTGAGAAGCTGCACCTGCTCCTCGAAGGCCGCATGGAGCGAGCGGAACTGCCCGGCGCGCTTGCGCTCAGCCGCGAAGTCCGCGACCACGCGGGCCTCCTCGCCGGTCATATTCGCGACATCGGCGATCTCCGCCCGGCCGTTAGCCTTCAGGTAAAGGGCGACCTCGGGGCTCGACAGCAGCCAGCTGCGGTCGAGCGAGACGCGGCCCTTGGTGTCCTCGTCCTCTAACATCTTGCTCCAGGGGATCTCGTCCAGGCCCTTGGGATCGGCGCCGATCGCCTCGGGGAAGTAGCCGAAGCTGTCCGCATTACCGATGACGGGCACGCCGTACTGGTTGCCGTCATAGTCCTGCAGCAGGTCGGTGCGCTTCCAGTCGTCGGAGGTCCGCTCCCAGAGCGTGAGGTTCGGATGGTCCTCGATGACCGTGGAGTAGTAGCCCTGCGGCCCCAGAATGTCCTCGGTGCCGCCGTCGAAGATGAAGATGTCGTGAGTCTCGCCGAGATCGTTCGAGATGACGTCGCGCATGTAGGTGCCGATGTCGGCATTGGTCCCGGTGAACTCCATCGTGATGCCGATGGCTTTCTCCATGATGGACCAGTCCTTGAGCTGCGACGTGGTGACGCCGTAGCCCTTGACCGTCGTCGACGCTGCCTGCACCCCCCGGGTCGCGCCTAGCGAACCGGCGGCGGCCACCGCCGCAGTGGCCGCCGTGCCCTTAAGCACGTCGCGGCGCGATATGTCCGGAATACCCCACTTCTCGCTCATGCTGAGACTCCCCTTGCTTTCCACAACGTCGAATCCTTGCGCGCCTAGCCGCCGCTCGTTGCCGTGGCACGGCAACGGCGCTCGCATCGCCCCGCACTATACACGGTTGCGGCGCTTTGGTGCCATGCCCCAAGCCATACCTAAATCATGATGGGGCAGGGCGCTCGGATGCCCGCGCGACGGCATCCATGCGGCGCTCTCAGACAGCCCCCCAAGACAGATGGCTGTCGCCGCCGCTTCTTGTTTCAGTATCCTGCGATCCACCCGGTCCCATTCTCCGATCGGGCTGGGCACGATTGAAGGAAACCGATTTCGGAGGGAGCATGCCATGCAAAAGCCCGCTTCCATGAAGGCCCTCGAAACGCTCGGCCGGGTCCGGTTGTCGGAGCACTTCTTCATGCGCGAGATGCTCTACAGCGAGATCGCGAGCTTTCACGGCATTACGAACATGCCGGATGATCCCGACCTCGCCATCGCAGCGGGAACCCGGCTCTGCGAAGAGCTGCTCGAGCCGCTTCACGCCACCTTCGGCCATGTGTCGATTCGCTCGGCGTTCCGCTCCGCCAGGGTGAACGACTTCGGCCACGAGCGGCGGGACCACGGCTACAACTGTGCCGAAACGACGTGGAACCACAGCCGCCACGTATGGGACCGGCGGGACGCCGACGGCTTCATGGGGGCGACCGCCTGCATTGTCATCCCCTGGTTCGTCCCGCGCTATGAGGCGGGGACGCCGTGGCAGGCCCTCGCCTGGTGGGTGCACGACCACCTGCCGTATTCGGACATGATGTTCTTCCCCAAGTACGCCGCCTTCAACCTGCGCTGGCACGAGAAGCCGGTCCGCCGCATCGACAGCTACGTTCCCCCCAAGGGATGCCTTACCAAACCGGGCATGGCGAACCATGCGGGGGACCAATCCTCGGAATACCCCGGCTTCCCGGCGCTCAAGCGGCACTGACGAAGCGTCCTGACGCGACCGATAGCGACGGCGCTGCGGGTATCAGAGGAGAGGGTTGTCCGTTTCCAGGCCGAGCGCGAGGCGGCCGTAGGTGACGGCGTTGGGATCCCAGGTCTGGGTGATGTGGGCAGTGCCCGCGTGAATGTCGCGGAAGGCGCGGGACAGCGGGTTCCTGTCATAGACCCCGCCGCCGCCGCTCGCCGCCGTGATCAGATCGACCGCCTGGCAGCAGAGCCGGGCGGCATAGGCGCCCTCGGCGCGGTAGCGGGCGCGGGCCTCGGCGTCCGGCAGCGCGCCTCCCTCCGCAATCGCCGTCGCCTCGTCGCAATTGCCGAGATAGAGGCGCCGCGCGGCCGCCACGGCGGCGCGGGCCTCGGCGACCTTGACGTGGATGGTGCCGAGCTCGGCGAGCCTCTGGCCCGAATAGTGCGCGGCGCGGGTGCGCGTGGCCTCGACATAGCCCTCTACCGCCGCTTCCGCCATGCCGAGCACGGCCGCGCCGACCCAGGTGAAGAACATGGCGAAGAGCGGCAGCCGATAGACCGTGCCGGTGTTGACCGCGTTGCCCAGGTCGCTGCGCCGTTCCGCGTATCCGCCGCGTCGATGGTGCGGTACGCGGGGACGAACAGGTCCTCGACCGCCGCGTCGTTGCTGCCGGTGCCACGAAGGCCCGAGGCGCGCCAAGTGTCGAGGACCGTGTACTCCCCC